AAACTAAAATCTAGCTGTTATAAGTATAACAGCTAGATGGATTTAAAAAAAAAGAACCTGCAGCTGCAATATGACGTATGACACAGAACTGAAAGAACCATCAAGTACATAACCAAAAGAACCTAAAAGATTCTGTGTACGACATAACAACATTATCTCATGGCCCCGACGCTGCCATGTGGCTTTTTTGCCTTTTTTATGATACCTTTTGAAAAGTCAATTATAATCTCTAAATGATTTCATAGAAACCTGCCACATTTTGTTTACGTGTGACAGCAAACATCCAACATTGACTTAATAGAATTCTTGAATATCTAATGTACAAAGTAAATTGTATATGTATCTTTTATGTTGTTAACTTGAAAATCATAAATACAGAACTTTTTTTTACATCATTTTCTTTAAAATGCTATTTTTTGTATTACAGTGGTTTGAAACGGCACTGTACAACAAAGTACCTCATTGTTATAATGTAATTTTTTTTAAATCTTTATTTATTTAGGGGCTTTGATTGTTATTGAACATGTCAGCCCCATTAGAAAAACGGTACTTCAAGAAAACAATAAAATCCAGACAGATAAATCAAAATACTACCTAACTAAACATGTATACAAAACCTCCGCGGCACTACAGGTTGGCTCCGACAAAATAGATTGAAACATCCCAACATTAAATGTACGGAAATCAGCCTGTGCAAATAATCCCGCCCTGATAGGTTCCGTCCGAACACACTCAGAGCAAATTATGTACATCCTCAGGAATCCCACACACTATATAGATTCAGTTGTAACCATGTGACGTTTCCTTTAAAGCAAACTTAATGTATTTTTCATACAGCAAGATCTCTAAGCGAGAATTCGCGCTTTATGTCGCTCTCACGCAAGTCGCGCCTTGTTGTGCTAGCCCTTCAGATTCTAACGTAATATTAACGTCATTTTCATACTCGTTTATATACTTTTTATTAGATGTCTTTACAATAGATAAGTCGTCTGCAAATAAGACGCATTTTGACTATTTAATATTATAAATAGCCTTACAGCAGTCGAGCTGTGTGTGACTTATGCTGAGTTGGATCCGTTTCAGCATATACTTTTAATTACTAATTTCTTCTGTATAAGTATGTTAATAAGTGTATAATAAGTGTATTATTTGTTCTGTATAATAAGCTGAATAAATGTTTCTTACTTTCTCTGCCTCTGTGGCCGAACAGTTACTATACTGAACTAGGACATACCACGCGGAGGATCACACGGAGGACCCGGGTTTGATTCCCGGGCCGGGATATTTGTATGGCTTGCATTTATTTCTCTCGTGAGTTTAGGTGTAATTTATGGTTTTCTTGTTTCCCTAGTGCGGGGCTATGAGTGTATGCGTTAATAATAATTATATTTGTCACTTTTGGTAGATAATTTAACCCTTTTAAAACCAATTTCAATTTAAAAATAATTTTTTGATTCGAAACGTATTTTTTTCCTCTAAGTCTAAAAAGATCAGAGCCACGGCGGTCATTTTATATGGCTAAATACGTAGCATTTGCCACCTGCGGCGTGAACGAGCATCGCAAATTAAGGTGTGTCGTGCCGGACATTTTAACCCCCCCAAGGCCCCGATAGGTAGATGAGATGCCAGTCATTTTGACCCACCACGGCGATGAACGTGTTAAACATTACGTTTGTTTTTAAACTTAGAATATATTGTAATGAGGCAGTTAACATTCATTGCGATTGTAGTTTTTATCGTAAAAGCTATAATTTTCTACGTTGTGAGAAAATTATGCATTCACGCTGTTCCACAGTTTATTTTATGTTTATGTAAAATTACAACTTTTCAGGAGAAACGTTAAAGATTCTACGAACGAAATTAGTCGATAAAATTTTTATGCTTGAATAGCAGAGTTATAAAATTTACCACAATAAACATAATTTGTTTCGTAATAGTTCGTATTATTTTTATGATTTCATGTAATATGATCTGAGTACATAGTACTCAAAAAAACCAACCTCAAAAGTCATTCATCCACTAGTTTGCCACCCATAGAGGTGGAATATTTTCTTATAACTTAACCCACTACTGAGGTACCCTCTTTCCAACAAAAAAAGAATAAACAAAAACAGCCGGAGTTATCGCGTAACATACATACGAAAAAAGACATAGTGTCGAATTGAGAACCTCCTCCTTTTTTGAATTCGGTTAAAAAGCATTTTGACGTACAGTCACATGTGGCTCTATAATAACAAAGGATACGATATATTTACAAGTTCCCATAATTGTAATCGGATTGTTGCTTCTACTCATACAACTGTAATAATCTGCAGCTGCAATATGACATATGATACAGAACATGTGAAAGAACCATCGAGTACATAACCAAAAGTACCTAGAAGGATTATGTGTACGACATAACAACATTATCTCATGGCCCCGACGCTGCCATATGACATTTTTGCCTTTTTATGATACCATATTTTATGGTTGCCATACCACTCAGAAATTTAAAACCAACACGTACTTGTAATTTCACACCCTTTAAAACCGAAACGCAGTAATGCTCACAATATTAGTTTTTGGCAGAAATAGGCAGTACTTCCCAGGACGAACACTGTTATAAGGTGCTTTACTGTTACTGAAAATTTATTATAAAAATTTACATTGCCCCATGGCCCCGACACTACAATGTGGTATTACATATAAATTTCACATTTTTTTAAGTAGGTACTAATCCGTTACGGATGTTTTTTGCATTTATATCAAAAATTAATAATTAAATATTTTTTATAATGAAAATTGCATCCAAATGTAAAATAATTATATACTTTAGTATTATTGAAAATAAGTATATATATAGTAAATAAGTATTGTTGAAAACAAAAGTAAATTTGGGTTACACCACTTTTGCGCTGATAGCCTCAAATATAAATACTTTCTTCCTTCTTTTTCTTTTCTGAGCCAGTCCATTATCTGGGCCAAAATGTAGAGAAAATAATAATAAATTTAAAAGCATTTGGATAGATCACGCGTCAATACAATTTGTTTTATTTTTGTGTTTATGTCGTATTTTACCATCGAGTATATAACCAGAAATAGAGACGAAATAAGGGCCATCCGTCCCTGGCAACTCATCAAGCATATCATTTTGTATATCACTTTTAAATATCAAGTCTCGTTTGCACTGAAATCACAAATTAGAAAGCTGAAATAGTACAGCGCCAACAACTCTACCTGTGTGTATATCTCCGTATATTCCAAAAATATCCTGTATTTATTGTAATAGAGATAATATCTCTAACTATGAGAGGCTGTTCCATTCGGTGGTGTGGGAAAACAGCAAAACATTTAATTACAAAACAAACGGAATCACATTTCAGTAATTAAATATTAAATATGTATTTTTTTCAATTTTCGTCCATTATAGCAAAGCTCAAGTTAAACTGGACGATTTCCCGTCAAGTGTTTCGACTTCGGGCTGGTCAATCGGAGCGCAGTTGTCACCGTAATGATTTGGCAGAATAATTTTCAAACAAATTAAATGACATTTCATCTCTGTTTCTGGTTATATACTGGATGGCTTTTACTAAGTATTCGTTTACTAATGTGCTGTGAGACCATTTCTTTTTTCTAGCCATAATTTCTACAAAGATAATTACTATAGACGTTAGAATTTTGTACCATTTTGAATGAAACATCTTCATCTGTTTGTTCTATTTTGAATACAAAATTTAATTTAGACGTTTTATAAAATTTCTCATTATATTTAGTTTACCCGCAACAAGAAAAGGCGGAAAAATTATGCCTAAGTGGCTAGACTCTTGTAATACTTATCTTTTAATAACTATGTGTACATAATGTACTTATATACACTAACTAGTATATAAAGAGAAAGATAATGTGATGTGGAGCTTCTTTTACGTGAATAACGGTAATTTGTCTGCATTTAAATATTCTTTAGATATACAATATTAATAATTATATTATTAATTATTTATGTATTTACTACTGATAGATAGTCTATGTCCAACATCTGTTTAATCTTTTTAAAACAATTGTCTTGTTAAATATTACGTCTCCAAACTCTGCTGAGGCAAGAAGTAAATATTATTTAGGAAATAAAACAATTTTTTCATATCTAAGCCCCGTATATTTGTTTTTTCAAACAAACCAACGTTTCGGGCCCTTTACAGGTCCCATGGTTCAAACTGCCTCTGTGGCCGAACGGTTAACATACTGGCTCTTACACGCAAAGGTTGAGATAAATATTTGAATGACTTACATTTATTTCTGTCGTGAGTTTTGGGTGTAATTTGTAGTTGTCCATGGCACCCGCGACACAGGATTTCGTTTAAAAAAAAGAAAAAGCAAAAAAGATAACAATGGTCACGGCTGACTGCCCGAGTCATCCGTGACCATGGAACCTTCAAAACGCCCTAAATGTTGGTATGTTTGAAAAAAATTAAACGCGATTTAGACTCGAAAAAATAGTTTCATTACCTAAATCTAACAATCGCGAAAACCTAAGGACTCGATATATATTATTTCTTATAATTTAAATATCTAGGTACTTCAAACTAAACAAAATATTAACTTTTTGCTAATCAAAATATTTACTTCAAAATTAAATTACATTTTGAAGTGAAAGATTTTTCCGAATCTAAATCGAAAACTTATATTTGTTTTCTTTTTCAAACACAATAGTAACATTTCAAATTCAATATTAACAATAATGCACCGATGCATTCATTCATTATCAGATATTCGGTAATATGAGTATAAGAGTAATCCGGGATCTCTACCCAGACATTAGAACGACTATTGATTAGTTAATTTCCTAAACATATCAGGAAATCAAAACCGAGGCCAAAGTAACTAACCGCTAAGCCATCGAGGTACTCTTAGATAAAGAAAGTAGGAATTATTTACCAAACACAGTTTTAAACTTCATTTATATCAAAAAGCTTGCGTATTTTTCTAGGGCTTAAGAATAGTAGCGGCAGAAACGCTTCAAAATGATTTTATCACCGGAGGTAAGTGTTTTCCAATCTCAATTAACTTAATACTCATTTATTTAAACCTGCCCTCGCTACGTTGTCAACGTCGACGTTTTTATATGTACATAATAACATTCATTCTAACGTCGCTGCCAAATAGTCTTGTTACAGTTGTATCTTACCCTACAACTAAGTTATAATTGTTTTTTTTTAATGTGCCTGACAACCACACCAATTGTCTGGTCTCAATCTAGGAATTTCCCTGTACTATGAGTACCAGAGCAATAACATTCACTACAGAGCACTTCCCAGGCCAGAAGCAATTTAGAAAAGTTCATTTCCCGCATTCAGAGGCCACAGTTACACCACCAAGGCTGTCAAATTAAATAAAGAGAAGCCGCTGTAATTAGCTATACTGGTGACGAGTAGCAGTGTACGGAAGAACCAGAATTGGTTTTTGTGACACGGTACAATAATAGGTATAAATGCAAATTTTGTTATTTTTAGAAAAAAACAAACAAAATGATATAAATAAACGGGCCCACCGCGAGGCTTGGGAAAATATCAACAAATAATTGAAAATCTAAATATGGTTTTATTTTCTTTTAAGGTTTATTATGTTTGAATGTTTTTTTCCGTTGTAATTGTTTGTTACATTAAAGAACAGCGTACACGTGCGCAACTTAACTTGACGCACCCTCATCGAAGAATGGCCTAAAACCTACAGGAAAGCCCTCCACTTACATACAAAATATAACCCACATCCTCTCCAATTCTGTACAAGAATTGGAAGGGATGTGGGTTATATTTTTCTGTATCTAATAGAGCAATAAATATTTTTGACATAACTCCACTTGTGCCATTTTCCATGAGGTGTATATTATGTTATATTATAATACGGCGATTTTTGTGCCCTGATGTGTCATAGCAATATCGTGTTGTGTTACTGCATTTTCGTGTGATGTGTCATATAGCATTTTCGTGTATAAGTATAAATACACTTTTTTACAATTTTGCGTAAAAACTATCTATAGGTATAGGTTTGATACTGTCTACTATCTACGAGAAAAATTATTGCGCGTATTTACAGCTAAACTCAAACCGCAAGGACACAAGTGTGCGCGTTTACCGCTAAAAAAATCCCATTTGTAATAGCGCCAAAGTTACTCCAGAACACTGCCCTTGCCATGTCTAAGAGTATTGGGATACTTGGAGTCGATATCACGAACGAACTCCAGTTCCGGAGTAATTTAGAGAGCAAAGCCAAACTGGCTTCAAAAAAGCTCGGATAGAGCTCTCACTCAAGGGCTGGCAACGGATATGCAGCTCATCTGATGTTGCAAATGTCCATGGGCGACGATAACCACCTCTCATCAAGTGGCTCGTCTGCTCGTTTGCCTCCTTCTTTACATAAAAAAAACTTGTTATAGTCCATAATTCAGAACCTTACGCGCTGTAAGTGCATTTTCTCACTAGATACTTTATACTTATAGTGAACTTTGTCAATACTAGGAATGTGGCTGCCCACTATCAGATGGCGGAACATCCATATCCAATTCTCCAGTCTGCAGTGGTCTGGCTCTGTTCATGATACTCATAGAGGGCTACCTCAAGGGTCGGTGCGACATCGCCACGCCATGCCAGATAGTGGAGTCAGTTGACAAAATGGAACAGGAGTACGACTTTATTGTCGTCGGCGCAGGCGCCGCAGGGGCCATTGTCGCAGGGAGGTTGAGTGAAAATAAGAAGTTTAAGGTACGTTATCATTGAATGCATTTTGATATTTTTTATTTCTAAATTTAGTTTTTCTGAATGTATCAATTCCCACACTTAGCGTAACAAGGCCACATCTGCAAAATGACAACTTTACAGAATTAATAGATTCAGGCGTTACTTTTCGGAAGTCCATGTTAATAAAAATGGAAGTAAATTAATTTGCTACTCCGCGAACCCAGTGAAGGTTAAATCGTGCAAAATAGCTGCGCTTGTGTTGAATATTTTTTCATGCAGTTAATTATCCCACCCTTCCTCCGCGTAAAATTAATAAAATAAATAACACAAGCGCAACTATATTCACAAACCATCACCAAAAATATACCCGACCCGTGTTTCGCCTCTCCACGAGGCATCCTCAGGGGCTGTTGACTGCTCGACGCTCGGCCGAGCACGATTTAACCTTCACTGGGTTCGCGGAGTAGCAAATTAATTTACTTCCATTTTTATCAACTTTAGAGAGGAGCGAGAGGAGAGGGAAATAACTTTATGCCGCACTAATACGGTCCATTTTGCTTAGGTCGAGCAACAGAGACCCTGGCTTTATTTCAGAATTAATTTTTTAACAAACGAAATTAAAACCATTTGAAAAATGTATATTGTACGTGTTCTATTTATTTCAGTTGATATAAAAAAAAATATTGATATTTGTAAAGTACTTACTGAGTACAGCGGTTTTCTTGTAAAATTTCATGGTAAGTTTGTGTTTTTTTCTATCGTGAAAATATTTAGGAATCGTGTTTTTACATCGTATCGTAATCAGTACATATCCTCATTTTTACTATGTATTTTATCCAAAGTGACTGATTTGAAAGCCATTTGAGGTAGTATAGTCTCCTAAATAAAAATCATAACAGCTACGGACGCCTGCAAAATCTTATACGAAATGTTAAGATTTTTTTATTGATCGGACTACAGGAACAAACTTATTTACTAATTCTTCGCTCACAAAAGCCCTTCCGGCTTTATCCGCGGCGAAGGAGTTCAGTCCATTTAATGAAACATATAATATAATAGAGCAAAAATCTTACATTATAGCAGTAGAGCTCCCTGTGAAATAGTTCGTCCACGGATGTACTGCCACATTGCCTATAGTAATTTATTTACTGCGTTCCGGTTTTGAAGTGTAAGGATGCTAGTGAAATTACAGGCACTTGTCAACTTATGGCTCAGCGTGATGGGCGCAGTAGCAGTGTTCCTCAAAATCTTTGCTACTTAAAGCTCTGAGTGGCCTTGCAACTGCTATGAATAGGCATGTCGGTTACCACCAGGCGCAACGACTGGTTCGTCTCATCATTAGGTATCTTTAAAAAAACTCAGTAATAAAGGCCCTAAGGTAGAAATCAAATCCAGCAGCTTGATTTTGATTGCCTCTTCCGATCAAAAACTGCGTCTTGTCCGAGTGGAGGCGCACAATTGCGATTCACAACTGGCCGATCGGAAAATTTTGACATTTCTAATCGGAACAATAGTTGATTTAACTCACAAATTGGCAAGATATAGTAGGAATCAGGTTCATCTTCTTGCTCAGAAACCCGTCTGATTTCGAGACTACCCGATCGGATCGATTCTATTTGAATCAAAATCAGGACGCAGGACCTCCTGTTTAAAAGGCAAGCGTTCTCATAGCTAGGCACTGCTCTGAATCACTTTAATGTTGGAGGAAAAGACACAGGTGAGTCCCCTGGTTTCTGAAGAGGGAACATCCGGTAGAGTAGCAACAACATTACACTTATGCTATCTAAGTATGTACTTAATACCTATTATTTAAGTGTACATACCAAGTACCAACATATCAAGTGTTAATTAATTGTAGAACACTTCAGCACGAGATACTTCACATGATTATAGACTGAATACAATGTAACATTCCCACAGACATCATAGTCGGAAATTCCCAATTCGATTTTTTTTTGTGTACGTTACACGATTACACGATATTTTGTGAACTGATTTCGATGATTATTTTTATGTTAAAAAGGGAATATCTCATGGTCCCTTTCAAATTTGAAGAAACCATTCCACCTCTAAGGGTGTCACATCAGGGGATGGATCCGGTTTATTGGATTTCACCTTCCGTTAACTGATATCAATAAAATTTCGCAAATAATTGTAATTCCACAGACTTACAAAAAAGTTGTAATTATTTAGTCTTTCTTATACTTATCTCGGATAGCTTTTAAGTCATACTTATACTCATCCCTAAAAGGAAAATAACAAGAAACGGATCTATAATATAGGTGATGTGGAACTGAATACATGTAACTACTGGGAATAAACTGAAACCTCAGTGTGTGGCATGTTTCAATTTCTCTTATCTTTTAACTGCCACCGTGGTCGAACGGTTACCGTGCCGGACTGCCACGCAGAGGTCCTGGGTTTGATTCCCAGGCCGGGGGAAATATGTGTATGGCCTACATTTATTTCTCGTGAGTTTGGGTGTAATTTGTGGTTGTCTATGTGTGTGTTCCATGGCACTCGCGACACAGGGTTTCCCTAGTGCGGAGCTAAGAGTGTGTTGCGTTATACAAATATTATCGCAAAAAAAACATATCATGGTTAATACAAAGATCGAACACCACGAAAAATTTCATCGATCTGACAAGCCTCAAACCTGCTCGAACTAATGGAGTTATTTCACAAAAAGTACATTCATATCATGGCAGTCACGTCATAAAATATATTCAATATGAAATATGTAAATAATTGTAATTTTTCACTAATAAAACCGACCTGTAACCCTCCCGACCGACCCTCCTTTTTTTAATTTTATGATACAAAATGACAGGCCGAACAAGTCGTGTACGTACGTGGTTATAAGCGATACGCCTGTCCTTTGCAGTGCCGCACAGAGCTTCAAATCTTAGATGTTATTGCAGACTGACGAAACATTTCGTGAGTTGATTTAAACTTTAAACTGTCCTTGTTATTTGGAAGTCAGGAGTGCCGTAGCACAGGGCTTACCTAGTTTGGGCTCCTGTCTCCCATATCAAAGCTCTATGTTCAGTTATATACTAATATTTTGTAATTGTTGGAAGAAAAAAAATAATATTATTATTATTAAATTTGCCATCTACTTTCCACAAAAAAAAAAGAATCATCGTAATCAGTTTACAAACATCGGAATAATCGCGTAGCATACACACACAAAAAAACAACAATTTTGGTACCAGTAGAGCTAGCTCCTTGTGAACGAATTCGTCCAGGGAAGTACTGCCACCTTACCTATTTCTGCCGCCAAGTAGTAATGTCAGCATTACTGGGTTCCGGTTTTGAAGGCTATGGGCGCTGGTGAAATTACAGGCACATGGAACTTGTCAACTTATGTCTCAGGGTGACGGGCGCAGTGGCAGTGCGCCTCAGATCTTTGCAATTGAAAGCTTGAGTGGCACTGCAACTGTCATGGACAGGCGTGTAGCTTACCATCAGACGAATAAGTCGTGCGTTCGTCCTAGTGTTGTTAAAAACCCGTTTTTTTCTAAGGTGATAAAAACAATGAAAAAAACACGAAAAAAAACCGTTCTTTTTTCTGGAGTACGTTTTTTTTCTAAAAGTATGAAAATAAATATATGAAAATTTATTTTAGTTTAAACACGACACACACGTCCGGTACTCACTCGGTTTTAGGGTCCGCTGATTTTCAGTGGATGTCACAGCCTTGTCCCGGCGGTGACATTAGCTGAGTGGATTCTATTACATACGCGACAGCCGTAATTTTCATATATAACGTTTAATTTGAAACATGACATCTACTTAGTACAACAATAGTGTTGACCAGCTTTGTGGTCGCAGAATTATTTATATTGCTTAGATTTTATTTTTAATTAATTTTATTTAATTTTCTTTTTTGTTATTCATTTTCTGTTTGTTTTAATTTAGTTTGTTTTAGTTTTAATTTAGTTCTGTTTTATTTTTATTTTTTACTGTTTATTATTGTGTTGTGGTGTTATGTAATAAATGTATTCTATTCTATTCTATTCTATTCTATAAAATTGTAGTTTTTTTACTACATTTCCTCTTTTGTTGTTAATATTAATCTTCATAGATAAATTGCTCAAAATAAATGGGCACTCATAGTGTTGTCAATTTGTGGCGAATTCCCGAAATTGCGGGGAATTTCAACTGTATTGGGCATTTTGTGGGATTGGCGCTATGTGGGAAAAATGCGGGGATTCCAACATTTTTCCTTTTTTTTTAATCTGTTGATTGCTGTTGCATCGCTACTTTGATGATTACTGATAAAAACGCTACTTATTTATTTATCTAAGAGCTACATCAATATTATTTTCACATCGCACATATCCCTTATATGGCAACATTTACATAGAATTATTAGCAAGCCGCTTATATAAAATTATTCGGTAGGATTTGAATGAAGAAAACGAAGACAGAAAATTTTGATGACATTACAAGTGTGGGTAACACCTGTAACAGTACTAACACTAGTAACAAATGAAGATAATTTTTTTTGTTATAGTCATCATGTTAATTGATTTTTATAAACATGTTACATATGTATTCACATATATACCGGTGTCCCACGGCTATGCCACATGGAGGGAAAGTACCTTAAATACCATTGATAGAACATTTTACTGAAAGAAGAGTTCATTTTGATTTTAAAAACGATTCGAACTGCATTCAAAGATTTTTAAATAATCGCTTCTCTGAACCGGGAATCGAACTCGCAAAATGTGAAAAAAAACCACCTGTAATTTTATTATACTGATCGAAAGACTCAATCATAAGGATTGTTTTCTTCTAAATAACATAGCATCTTAAATAAAAGGAAGACTATGAAATTTCACTTTAATTTGAAATTTTGTTCAGGAAAATGGACAACTTTTTCTCTGACTATGCCGCGCTCATAACAACATACATTATCATTTCAAAGTATTACTAATGAGTACAAACTTGAGAAATACATATCATTTCCCTATTATAAGTGCTTGATAAAATAATAAGGAAATTCACAAAGAAGTTCACAATCACAAAGCGGCTGGCTGATTATAAAATAATAATTTGAAAATGTGTTCCATTTTCAAACGTCTATGTATTCTTTTGTTTTTTTTTTTAGTGAATTTCTTTTTCGATTTCTTGCATTGCAATTGTTGTGTGAATTTACTTACCATGGCGTATCAACATAATTTGGATTTAATGGAAGCATACTATATGAACCACAAAAACATATCACTAGCTTTGCAGTGGTACCGCGAACGGAATCCCGGTAGAGAAATACCATCTCGATTTATTTTGAAAAGGTTGATGGATAATTTGAACAAATTAGGACGATTTCATCGTCGCGTACCGCAGCCACAGCACCAAATGATAAACGTTAACAATGATGAACTCGACATTTTGATTTACTTTGAGGCGAACCCGAAGAATTCAGTGAGGGAAGGTGAAGAAGAAAT